TGGGGTCACGAAACGCGTGGGGGGTGTTCGTAATGGGTGGGGGGAAACGCATGAGGCCGCGGACACGGACGGTCTTCGGTGGAGCTCCCCATTGGGCCACAAAACGCCGTCATTGGCGGGGGCGGCGCATGCGGCCGCGGCCACTGGGGCTTTTGGCTTCTTATGGAGCCAAAAAAAACGGTGTACTGGGTGGGGGGCGAGGGAGGCACGTGCAACCGCGACCACTGGGGCCTTCGGTGGAGCTCCCTATGGGTCCACGAAGCGCTTTTCTGGGGGGAAGAGACGCGTGCGGCCGCGGACACTGGAGTACGCTGTACTGGGTGGCGCGGGCGCATGTGAACGCTCCCTCTACGACCACATCTACTACAACCACGACTATTACGACTACTACGACTTCTACTACCACTGCAACTTCTACTTCTACTTACACTTCTACGTCTACTTCTCCTTATACTTCGAAATTCTACTTCTACTTCTACAACTACTGGTTATGACTACGACTACGACTACGACTATGACTACGACTACGGCTACTACTACGACTACTACTACTACGACTACGACTACGACGACGACGACGACGACGACGACGACTACTACTACTACTACTACTACGACGACGACGACGACGACGACTACTACTACTACGACTACTACTACTACTACTACTACTACAACTTACTACTACTACTACTACTACTACTACTAACTACTACTACTACTACTACTACACTACTACACTACTACTACTACTACTACTACGACTACGACTACGACAAACGACTACGACTACGACTACTACCACTACTACTACTACTACTACTACTACTACGACTACTACTACTACTACCACGACTACTACTACTACTACTACTACTACTACTACTACTCTACTACTACTCCTACTACTACTACTACTACTACTACTACTACTACTACTACTACTACTACGACCACTACTACTACTACCACTCCTACTACCACCACTACCACCACTACTACTACTACTACTACTACTACTACTACTACTACTACTATACTTCTACGCCCACTACTACTACTACGACTACTTCTGCTACTACTACTACTACTACTACTACTACTACTACTACTGCGACTACTACTACCACTACTCCGCCTACGACTATGACTGCTACTACGACCACTGCTACCAAGTTCACTATTGCGACAACTACCATTACTGTTGCGACTGACGCTGCTACTAATACGACTACGATTACGACTACGACTACGACGACTACTACTACGACCCCTAGTACTACTACTACTACTACTACTACTACTACTACTACTACTACTGCTGCTGCTGCTGCTGCTGCTGCTGCTACGAAATTACTACGACTACTACGACCACTACTTCTACAACTGCTACTACGACTAGTACTACTGCTACCACGGCTACTACTACTACTACTACTACTACTACTACCACTACTACTACTACTACTACTACTACTACTACTACTACTACTACTACTACTACTACTACTACCTACTACTACTACTACTACTACTACTACGACTACTACTACTACTACTACTACTACTACTACTACTACTACTACTACTACTACTACTACTACTACTACTACTATACTACTACTACTCCTACGACTACTACGACTACTACTACTATACTTGCTACTACTACTACTACTACTACGACTACTACTACTACTACTACTACTAACTACTACTTACTACTTACTCTACTACTACTACTACGACTACTACGACTACTACGACTACTACTACTACACTACTACGACCACGACTACTACAACTACGACTACTCCTACTACTACTACTACAACTACTAATACTACTACTACTACTACTACTAGTAGCACTACTACTACTACTACTACTACTACTACTACTACTACTACTACTACTATACTACTACTACTACTACTACTACTACTATTACTACTACTAATAGTCCTACTACTACTACTACTACTACTACGGCGACTACAACGAGAACTGCACCGATTATTACGAGTACGACTACGGGCGACGACGACAGCGGCGACGCCGACCACGACGACTACCATCGCTACGACCACCACTGCTACTACTACTACTACTGCTACTACTAATCGGCTTACTACTACTACTACTACTACTACTACTACTACGACTACCACTACTACTACTACTACTACCACTACGACTAACAAAACGACTACTACTACTACTACTACGACTGCTACTGCTACTACTACTACTACTACTACTACTACTGCTGCTACGGCTACTACTACTACTACTACTACTACTTCTACTACTACTACTAACACTACTACTACCACTACTACTACTACTATTGCGACTACGACTACTACTACGAGTACGACTACTACTAATAGTCTTACTACTACTACTACTACTACTACTGCTACTACTACTACGACTACGACTACTACTACTACTACTACTACTACTACTACTACTACTACCACTACTACCACTACTACTTCTACTACTACTACTACTACTACTACTACTACTTCTACTAGTAGTCCGACGACTACTACTACTACTACTACTACTACTACTACTACTACGACGACTATACGACGATTACTACTACTTCTGCGACTACTACAACAACAACTACTACTACTACTACTACTACGACTGACCTTACGACTACCACCGCCACGACGACGACTACCACTACCACCACTACTACTACTACTACTACTACTACTACTACCACTACTACTACCACTACTACTACTACGACTACACCTATTACTATTGATAGACTACTAATACGGCTTCCAATACTACTACCACTTCTATTGACTACTACTACTACTACTACCACTACTACTACTACTACTACAACTACGACGACGACGACAACTACCACTACTACTACTATTACTACTACTACTACTACGACTACTGCTACTACTACTACTACTACTACTACTACTACTACTACTACTACAACTACTACTGCAACTACTACGACGAGTAGTACTACGACTACAACTATTACTACTGCTACTGCTACTGCTACTACTACTACTACTACTACTACTACGACTGCTACTACTACTGCTACTACGAAATGACTACGATTTCGACTAGCACGACTACTACAAATAATAATCCGACGAATACGGCTACGACTACTACTAGTACGCCTACCTAAACTACTACTCCTACTTCTACTACAGCTACTACTACTACTACTACTACTACTGCTACTGCTACTACTACTACTACTACTACTACTACTACTACTACTACTACTACTACGATTACGACTACGATTCTACGACTACAACTGCCAATATTAGTACTGCTCCTACGACTACTACGACTACTACTGCTACTACTACGATTACTAAGACGACTAGAACTACTACTACTACTAGTACTACTACTACGACTGCTACTACTACGACTGCTGCTACTACTACTACTACCACTACTACTGCTACGACTGCTACTACTACTACTAGT